CCATTCATCATTAACTTTTATATACCCCATTTTTCTCAGGGTAGAGTCGTCAATTTCATTTGATGCCTTGGGGGTTTCTATGCTTTCCCCAGTAAGATCAACTTCAAAATATCTAAAGAAATTATTAATTAACATGGCATAAGGCAGTTTGAAATCTGCCAACCTTTTTGCCTTTCACATGTGATCTTTAATCACATAAACCCAGTTTACCCGAATATTGTTAAAAATGCAGTACATGAGGGCAAGATCTCCCTCATTAAGAATAGCATGATTACTCCCTCTTGGAGTAAGCATCCATGCCACAATAAAAGCAAGTAGTCTATGTTCAAGTGCAAGTTTTCCAAGCATTTAAAATTCTTACCGAATCATTTGGATCCTTAAGGCAAGACCGAAAAACTCGAATTTTGTTGAAATCGGGAATCTCGAAATATTCCCCCTAGAAACTTTGACACCCCTATCCTTGAGGCCAACAATTTGCTCCCAAACGAAGGAGTAATTTCCATATTAACTCCCTTTACCTGAGATCTGATTGTTGAACCATTTACTCGTCAAATTTGAATAAAACACCCGAACCAGATCGGATCGTATGTTCCAGTAAACTCCATGAAGGTTTTTAGCTTTTGACTTTTTAGCTTTCTTCTCAGACTAGTAAATCCCTCTTCATCAAGCCATTTGTATTTCATAAATTTTGGAATAACAGTCTGTTTCTGACTGAACTCAGAAATGAAGGTGTTCATTTTTCCAATATCACCATTAAACCATGCTTCCAGATGACCACCAGGATTAGCAGCAAAGGAAGATTCCTCTTTTTACTTCTTTCTTGACTTTGATCTCCTCAGCATCTTGTTGTATAGTTTAGAGAGGGTTTTTGAGACGTGAGTACAAAAAAAGAAGAGAGAAGCAATTTGAACTAGAAAGAGAAGAATGAGAACAATGAGTTACAAGTGAGCAAAGTGAAGATTCACGGATGTCAATTTTCGTGAATTGCGGTTAAATTTTGATAGAACCTACAAAATCAGCTTTAATTGTATATGTCCCCTTGACCGAAGACAGAGGCACAAATTTCTGGATAGTGGGTGCATCAGCTAAACTGTTCTTGGGAAGATGTTTGACTTGGTCAAAGAATATTAAAAAGAATTATGCAGATTTTGATTACCACAAAAACTTGGGATTTTGAATCTTGATTTGCTTACCAATTTTCAATTGGATGATGTAAAAATAATTTTCAGGAACAAATTAATCGATTAATCAACTAATTAACCTATTAATTTGATCTTTAATACTAGGTTTAAAACTGCTACAGGGAAATAATCGATTAATTCATAAAGGAATCGATTAATCTTGTACTTGGATGAAATTAATAAAGTGATAACAGAATTTTAATCGATTAAAACGAAAAAGAATCGATTAAATTTGATATTTTAGTGTTTTTAGTTGATATAAATCTTTTTTAATCGATTAAAACAGCTAAACTCAAATCCTCGAGAACATTTTAATCGATTAATTCGTATTTCAATCGATTAAAACTGTACTGGACAAATTTTCCGGTATTCTCTCGTAAGTTATTTTAATCGATTAATACTGTTTTATATCAATTAAAACATTCGAGTTTATGAAACCGAACTCGATTTGCCGTTTTGAACACCAAGAGACTTCCAGATTTTGTTCCTGCAAAACAGATTTAGCATGTTTCGGTACCCTTTATAATTACTTGGGTCCAATCAGGTTATTTGAAATGAATTATTTTTGGGAATCCACTTCATTCTACCTCTAGGAATAACATACTTCTTAATTCTACAATATTTCACTGAATGACCTCTTTTCATGCAGTAAAAACATTTAATTTCAGAGTATGATTTCCTCTTTACATTTGTTTTTGTGAATTTCATCCTAGATTTAAATCCTATGCCAGATTTGTCAAAAATTAGTTTTTGTAACCCAAGTAAAACGTCAAGATTAGCTTGATTTTGTGTAAACTTTGAAACAGTTTGTGATAAAAAATCAATCTTCTTTTGTAATTCTGGACAATTATTACAGTGGTTTATTACATGCACAATCGAAATTATCATGAATTAATTTTAAAAAATCAAGATCAGCTTCATCTTCAAGAATTTTCTTTTCAAGAGAGTCTACTTTATTTACTAACCAATTATTCAATCCTTTTAGCCTATCATTTTCTTTTTGCAGTTTCTTAGCTTCTTCATGCATTTCATTAAATGCTTCTTGTAATGAATTATAATTCACTAAATTTGAAGAAGAGTTAGAACTTACACTGGTTTTTGGTGAATCCGAGTTGACCATTAGGCATATCTCTGTTGTTTCTTCATAGGTCATTTCAAGGATCTTCCACATTTGTGCAGCAGTTTGACAATGTACTATCCTGAAAAAATCGTTTCTGTTAAGTGCAGATATGATAATATTTTTGGCAATACAATCATCTTGGATTAATTTCTTTTCACAGTCATTTAAGCTAGACCAATCTTTGTTAACGATATTAGTTTCTTGTTCAATGATATTCCAAACATTTATACTAACAGATTCAATAAAGATCTTCATCCTAATCTTCCAAAATGGATAATCTGTTCCACAAAACGGTGGAGGTCTATTAATACAAGCACCCTCGAGAAAATTTGTTTCCGACCATGGATCGAAGAACTTGAATAACTCTCAAGAACCTCGCTCTGATGTCAATTGTTAGAAAAAGAGGCTGAGATCAAGAGGGGGGGTGAATTGATCTTTGAAAGATTTTCGCAATTAACAGATTATCAATTTTAAAGATTAAGAAATCTGATCAATTCTTGAATCATACACAGCAAGCAATCAAAATAAATGCAGTCATAAAGTTAAAGAAGAGAAAGGTTTAGAAAGATATCACCGGGGTTTATACTTGGTTCACCCAATCCAGGGCTACGTCCAGTCTCCAGCCAAATTCCAGTGGGTTCCACTAGATTGAATGTTTTACTGATTACAACCTTAACCTTACACTCAATCTAACACAAGAACCACAATTCCAGTTCCTGCACCTAACCTTTCACCAAGAACCAAATTCCAGCTACAGAAAACCAGTGCCCACAATTCCAGGCACCCACAATACAGTAAAAGAAAGTAAAGAAACAAACAGAAGAAACTAAGAATGCTCAAACCAGTTTTATGCAATTCTGCAATAAGTGTTTCTTCTCCAAAGAAATGCATTTTTGCCTCAAGAAAGAGCTTTGATGAACTTCACAAAAACAAGCGTGATTCTTTCTTGAAAGTAGCACTTTTGATTGCTGTTGATTGCTAAGCAGAGCTGCAGACAAACTAATCCTCTTCTCTTTTATCTTAAGTGACCTTTGACTGCCACAGAGTTGCCTTTGACTTCATTTTTTACTTCATCAAATCAACAAGATCTTTGCCAAAGTAAATAAGATCTTCATTACTTTCAGTTTTGAATGATCTGAAGATCTCAAGAACTTTAGGTTCCCCGGACTGCCATAAGATAGCGCAGAGTTGAAAATCTATTTTCTTTCACTGGGAGCTTTCTGAGGAAAAAATAGAGCTAACATCCTTCTCCAGATGGTCATGGTACCCCTAACTTAGAAACCATATTTCAACAGATTTAGTGTAGGATAAATAGTTTCTCTAGCTGAGTCTTGCATTAGTTATGGTAGGAGTGACAGATAAAGAGAAGGCGCTGCTGGTTGTAGACATTTTAACAAGAGATCAAGGAGAACCAACCAAGAGAGACAACCACAGGACCTAGCTCTCAAAGTTTTCAAAATAGAAAAGGGCACCAAGGGTATGTATTTATGATGTGTAGAAAGCTCTTATTTCATGGTGTTTGAAAAAGGAGTTAGTGGTGACATTGATGTTGAATACATTGTAACCTCAATAGGAGCTTGTTAAGTTTTGTGGCTTGAGAATTTCATGACAAAAATGAAAATTAGAAGAAAAAAGCCTATGAAAATGCTAGTCGACAAGTCAGCTATAAGCTTAGTTAAGTATCATATTGCTCATGGAATGAGCAAGCATATTGAGACAAGATTTTACTTCCAAAGGGATCAAGTCAATAAAGGGAAGTTGGAGTTAAAATATTGTAGTACTAATAAATAAGTGGTTGATATTTTAACAAAGTCTCTCAAGGTTGACAAATTCAACTTGATTAAAAAGATGATAGGAATACAGTTTATTGCTAATCTAAATTAAGGGGGAGTGTTGTAGATAATTCAATTAGTATTTTAAGGGGGAGTGCTGTAGATAATTCAATTAGTATTTTAAGGGGGAGTGTTGTAGATAATTCAATTAGTATTGTTTGTTAGGTAGTTAGTGGGGTTGTTAACTAACTACTTATAATTGTCCTATAAATAATAATGATGTATTGTGATATAAGTGCGAACAATAAGATTTCAGATTTAGGACCCATATCCTGTTCTCTTTTCTTTTTCTTATGTGTTTCAAGTGAGTGTTTAATGTGTATTTTAACCAATGTTTTTAAAATCGAACCGGTCATTGAACTGCTGAAGACAGGGGTTTAGAGTTTAAAGATTCAACTGGGTCTAACCAGATTTAATAAAATAATATTTTTATAAATAACAAGTATAATATAAAATAAATAAGTTCATTAATAACAATATTTTTTACAAAAGAAAGAAAAATAATAAAAGTTATTGTCATGGTCATCGTAAGTTACAATGAAATTTACAAATATAAAATACATAAGAGAGTAGTAGATGGATAATTGTTGAAATAAGATAAAAACACAATAAAATAACTATTATTTAAAGTTGATGCAATTAATATGAAGTTAAAAAAAAAAAAAAACTAAAATGTATTATATCTTTTATAAAAAAAATTATATTAAACAAAATTTGATCTTAAACTTTTTTTTTACCAAAGTCGATTCAACCAAAAAACCCAGCCGATTTTTCCAGTTTTGTCCTGGTTTAAGTAAAATCTGGTCATTTTAAAGTAACATACTAGTTTCCGGTTAGACCGGTTGGTTCAATTCGGTTTTCAAAACAATGGTTCTAACATCATCAGTCCTTGCTAGATTAAATTTTGATGCCATCTTAGAAAGTGGGTTTAGAGCTAACTCAATCTAACAAATCGATTCATCATAAGGTGAGCTTTGTATCTATTTATAGTGAGTTGATATAAAGTTAGATCAGTTGTGTATTAAAAACAGTATTCAGTGCAATGTTTCTGCATTCTCTAATTTAACAATTGTGATAATAAACCCATTTGCTTTAGTTCTATTTCTATGATGTAAATTCTGTTTAGTCTATTCATTGTGAGCATGCTTGTCTTCTATCTTGTGTCTTAGAAATTATTTTTATTATGTCTATTAACCAAAATCGTTCTTCCTGAACTTTCAGGCCTGAAATCTCATGCTGTTACACTCTATGAAGCGGGGAAATTGGGTCATGCCAGCATTGCTGATCTTTGCAAGGATCTTAGTTCTCTGGAAGGTGCCAAATTTGAGGGAGAGCTGCAGGAATTTGCAAATCATGCATTTAGCTTGCGTTGTGTATTAGAATGTCTACAATCTGGTGGTGTTGCTTCTGATGCAAAACTTGTTGAAGATAAGATGGATCTGGCTACTTTAAGAAATGATGACTCTGGTTCTCTAATATCTGAGATCTCCTTGACTGAGAAATGTGAAGACTCTGGTATTACAGAAGCTAAGAAGAATGATTATGATATATTAAATTCAGATTTAGGGAAGTCCGTACAGGTGCCTGCTTCCACTGAAGCTACGTCTGGTAATATGGTTAGTGGAACCTGTTCTATCCCTTTTGACGATGATGGTAGCCATGTACAGGATGAAGCCAATGAAGATGGAAATCTTCGGAATGATGAGAAAGTGATGGTTGAAGAGACAAATGTTGGTACGGAAATGTTCAAAAAAATTAAGAAATATCGTGTAGATATTCTCCGCTGTGAAAGCTTGGCTTCACTTGCTCCAGCAACCCTTAATCGATTGTTTGTTCGTGACTATGATGTAGTTGTGTCCATAGTGCCTCTTCCTCATTCACCAGTTCTTCCTGGACCCACAGGTCTGGTTCATTTTGGTCCCCCCTCATATTCTTTTATGACTCCTTGGATGAAGTTGGTATTATATTCAACTGTAGCTAGTGGGCCTCTATCAGTTGTTCTGATGAAAGGACAGTGTCTGTGCTTACTTCCTGCTCCATTGGCTGGTTGTGAGAAAGCTCTCATATGGTCTTGGGATGGTTCCACCGTAGGAGGGTTGGGAGGGAAGCATGAAGGAAATTTAGTAAAGGGAAGTATACTCCTCCATTGCTTAAATTCACTTCTTAAACATTCAGCTATACTGGTGCAACCTCTAAGTAGGTTTGACCTTGATGAATCTGGAAAGGTGACTACAATGGACATCCCTCTGCCTTTAAAGAACTCTGATGGATCAATTACCTCTGTTGGAAAGGAGTTAGGAATATGTGAAGGGGAATGTTTAAAACTGAATTCTCTATTAACTGATTTGGCTAACCAGATGGAACTATGGACAGTTGGGTATGTTCGTCTACTGAAATTATTTAATGGACAAGAATCAGACCAGGTCTCACCTCAAGAAGAAAAGTATGAATGGGTTCCGTTGAGTGTTGAATTTGGGATGCCATTATTCAATCCAAAGTTGTGTAATAATATATGTCAAAGGGTTGTTTCTTCTGAATTACTTCAATCTAGCTCGTTTGAAGAACACCATCATGCAATGCAAAGCTTAAGGAAGAACTTGCGTGACATATGTGCTGACTATCAAGCAACAGGTCCTGCTGCGAAGGTTCTTTACCAGAAAGAGAAAGCTAAGGAATCCCCACGCCAACTTATTAATTATGCTAGTGGAAAGTGGAATCCACTCATGGAGCCTTCTTCTCCAATTTCAGGGGCCTCAAGTGAGCATCAAAGGCTAAAACTTGCTAATCGACAACGCTGCCGAACTGAAGTTTTAAGCTTTGATGGCAGCATTCTGAGGTTTGTTAACTCCTAACCATTGAATTGTTGAGGATTGCTTAATTTTCTTATCATCTTTATTGGTCCTTAAATTTTTTCAATTTTTTGTTTGTAGTCCTTAATCTAAATTTATACCAGTCGACGTCTCTTAATATTTTTATTTTACCACTTTTAGTTCCTTCTATCAAGTAACAATATAAGTTGATAACATAAAAATGATATTGGCAACCTAATGACTTACCACATGATCAGGGAGTCTAGCAGGATACTCACGTATCTTTTCTATAAACTTTATTTAGTCTCTGATCAACTAGTATGACATCATGAACATTTTGATGAATAGATGAGATGAGATTAAAAACACGGTTTAAAAAAAAAAACTATGAACATGGCTATCCTCTCGGACTGTTTGATGACATAGCTAGTCATTGGACTGCCAATGTGGTTTTTTCTTAACAGTACGGACTAAAAGTGGTAATGGAGAAAAAGTTGGTGGACTTTGACTGGTCAAAATTTTGATTAGAGAATAAAAGTAGAAACCCTAAAAATTCTAAGGACCAAAAAGGTATCCTTTCTTATTAGATTAAGGAATTGAATTTTTCTAGCATTTTTGGATTAAAATAAAATCAGTTTCTTCATTATAAGTAGTCATCTTCTGTAAACAATTTTTGTCGTACATTCCAAATTAAGAATACAAAATTTGCAACTGCGGTGTTGATGTAGCGAAGGTTTGTGGTACCTTATCCTGTATGTCACAGTGGGTGGGATTAACTAGATACAATTTTAACCGTAATCTGAGACTTCCTGCTTAAGATGCGGCCTAAAAACTCTGCCATGCTATCTAATATATGTTCCAGCATTTATAACTCTTTAGTGGTATTATGTTGCATTGGTATCAACATTTATTATTATTATTATTATTATTATTATTATTATTATTATTATTATGGTTTGGAGTAGTTTAAAATTAGAAAGGTAAAATTTTATAAAGACTCAAGACATGGAAATAATAAGAAACCTGGTATAATTCCCCTTCCATCTGTTCATTTTAGCACATAATTTCGGTTTCCTAATGATTAAGATTCTCAGAAGCTAAGGAGTTTTGGTTGGTTCTTGCAGATCTTATGCCTTAACTCCTCTTTACGAAGCTTCCTTAATGACCATCGAAGAAGGTACTCAAGCCAACACAATGAAAGCTGAAACAGATGAAAGTGATAGTAAAGACGTAATCCTTCCTGGAGTAAATCTTATTTTTGATGGTTCTGAGTTGCATCCGTTTGATATAGGTGCCTGCCTCCAGGCACGTCAGCCTATTTCCGTAATAGCAGAAGCAGCAGCTGCCTCAGCATCTTTAGCTATCAAATAGTTCTGCAATTAACATATAGATTACAGTGTTTTGAGAAGCATGAATGGTAATACTGGCGAATCACGTGCCAATGCCATTCCGCTTCGTTTGTTACCATCTTCGAGATTGTTGGTTGCTCACGTAGTCGGGCTCAGATTGAAGGTAAGTTTCAAATTTTCTTGTTGTAACACCTTAGTTGTTAAAAACTACCTTCAATTCTCGACCTTTTTGTGGCAGTACCACCAGCAGCCTTTAAGCCTAACTGACCCTGGTTTTCTATTTGAAACAAGGATGTATAAAACGATGCCAGACTGATTTGGAACTTGTAGACTGAATTTTCTTTCTCAAAAGTTTCTCTACATCTCCCCGCCCCCTTTATTTATTTTTTATTTTTTCATGTTTTCGTGAATTATTTTCTATTCTTTCAGCATTTTAGTCGTAATTATCTAATGCTTCTGTCAATGTCCTGCTTTTAAATTGGATTGTACGATCTTTTATAATAAATGCAGGTTGCATTTGATTTTTGCTAGATCCGGATACTCGCCTCACTTACAGCTGCGAAAATAGGAAATGTGTTATGGTTCATAGTCTACAGTACAAGATCTTTTGCTCTTGTTCCGTGCTTGCAGCAAAACGGACACTGAAATATGGTCATACAAAACATCATTTCTTTGTTCCGTCTTTTTAAAATGTGAATTCAGTGTCTTTATACCTTTTTGTTGCTTCCTCTTGTATTATCAGTTTGCGTGTGCGTGTAATAATTTCATGTTAATTTAGGAAAACCATTTAATGTGATACAATCTTTCCTCCAAGATAACAATTCACAGAAAGGCTACCAAGTGTTATGAGATTCTATTATTTCCAAACACCTTTCAGTAATATCCAAATTGATTCTGTCAAAGGTGTTAGTATGTAAGGCAAACGGAGAGTGGGAAGTGAGTTCCATAAGGAAATAAATGAAAGTGTTTCTCATGTTTGATGGTATAGAAAGTGACAAAGAAATATTAGATTTTTATTCTCACTTGCATCTTTTAATTTTAACTTACATAAGAGGAAAAAAATAATAAAAAATATAAAGGATTATATAATTATTATTTTTCTCTAGGAAATGATTATTTATTTTTATGTTTATAGTTTTAATTTATATATGTATATTAACTTTTAATTATGTGATTTTAGGAGAGTGTGATATAATGAAAATGATTACAAGAATTAAATAAATAATTTAATATAGTTTATATTTTTTTTATAATGTGATATTATTTAATTAGTTTAAACTCAATTTTTTTGGAAAATACATATCTGTAGATATTTTATAATTATATATAAAAGTATATAAATATATAGTATTGCAAAAAATGATATTTTAACTTGAAATGTTAATTTAAACAAGTTAGTTTATTTGTAGAAAAATTAATAATTAAATAAGTAATTTTATAATTGTATAAATCTTAATTTTAATTTACTTATTTATTAGTTTTTAAGTTAATATTTTCATTTCATTTCATTTTTTTTCTTTTACCACATTTTATTTTATCGTTATTATCAATTCGTTGATTATGAAGTTGGAGTTTTATAAATTTTGGAAACAAGATTAGTCCATAATATTTAATGTATAACTTAAATCAATTTTATAAATAATATATTTAGAAGAAAAAAATTACTCAATTAGAATTTTTGTCAATTTATTTATTAAAGTAGATATAATTGGCAAAATGGACTGTCCAAAACTTAATTCTACAGGTAAAAAATTTAATAGTCTAACTAAACCTATATTTTAAAATAAATCATAATTTTTGGTGCAGTTAGGCCTTATATTAGATTAAGAGTAAAGTGTCAATTATATCTCAATTGAAAATTAAAAAAAAAATATATATATTAACATATCTATACTAAAATAATCAATTAAAAAATATTTAATAAAAAAAATAAGAGTTAAAAACCTTATTTTTTATTATTATCATTTTTGTAGTAATTTATTAATTAAAATATCATGGAATAGTGATTTTTAGATATTTACTCTAATATTTATTCTTATAACAAGTGAATATTTTTTCAAATTAATTTATAATACATATAGATTTTGTTAATAAAATAATATTATTTTTATTTTTATTTAAAGAATAATTATTATTTTATAAAATGAGTTGACCCATAAACATATATAAACTAGCATGACTTAAGCCTATTTAGGTCATGGACTAAGTGGGTCAAAATAAAATAGACTTGATTCAATTTAGATTATAATTTTTTTGTCTAGTTTACCTTATTTCTTAAGACTTTTGAATGAGTCCATGTTTTGAGCCTATTTCGACACCTTTAAAAAGATATTTGTTTATTTTTTATATGTCATTTTTCTTTTTTATCTTCACAACATTTTGTTTTATAAATATTTTATCCTTTATTCACTTGTTCTCTCTTTCATTCTAAGTCTATTTTCGTTTTCTTCTCTCCCACTTATTCTTCTAATTAAAAACACTATATTAAAATTTAATAAAAAATTGTTAAATAATTTTTTTAAATCAACATTGAAACTAAAAAAATATCAACTAACTATTTAAAATTATGATGATAATAAATAAATTTATGATATTAAATAATTTTATATACAGTGACAATAAATAATTAGTTTAAAATTATTTTATCATAATAAAGTAATTACTCATCTGATTAAAAATAATCAAATATTTATGAGATAAATGTATTTTTTATTTAGTAATTTAATCTAGTTATAATTAGGTTGAATTATGGTGATTAAATAAAGTTAAGTAATTTAAAAAATATTTATTAAAAAAATTACTTTAAAATAAATATTTAATTTTTTCTTAATAATTATAACACGCTAATAATATTTGTAATACCTCAAAATTTATTATAAAATATTTTTTAAATATAATATATTAAATTATAATATTTCTGGGTAATTTAAATAGTTTTATTTTTCAAAAATAATAAAAGATCAATTTTATTAAATTTCATTTATTATTTTTAATTAGAAAAATAAGATGAAGTGAGAGAAAAATAAATAAATACTAAATAAAAATAGAGAAGAAAGAAGAATAAGAAATAAACGAAGATAAAAATAAATAATAAATGAAAAAAAAGAAAAATATTATGTGAGAAAATTTATTTTTTATTATTAAATTTTTTGTATAAAAAAAAGTCAAAAATCTAGTTGGATAAATAAACTTATAAAGATTTTATTTAAATAATTTAACATTCTAAATATATTTTATGGGATTCATTAGTCTAAACTTATTTATGTTTCATTGCATAGAAAGCAAGAAAAAAGAAAAAGAAAAAACAAAGAAAACATTATAATAAATTCAAACTAATATTCAGTTTATATATATAATGCTTTTTTTTTTTTTTTTTTTACTTTAAGCTAAATGAATTTGTATTTGGCCTAGACTAATCTTGACTAGCACAATTTGTTTAGAAACAATATTATTTTGTTTATATAAATGTAATCCTATATTAAAGTTAGTCAACTTATTCAAGGATATCTTGATGTTTGTAAGAAAAAGAAAAAAAATGTCTTTTTTTTTCTAATTTTTATTAGCGTGTTGGACGTGAATTTCATAACCTTTCTCGTTACTCATTATTTTAAATCGTAGGAATTACGTATATACATCTAACATATAAAAAAGTTGAAAGTAATAAAAATATTTTAAATTCGATAAGTTTTAAACCTACTTCGTCCTAACTTCGTTTGCTTTTATATAAACACACAATTATTATAATTTTAAAAACAACACTTGAAACATAAATACAATACTAATTCACGATAAACAAGTTAAATTAGAAATTGTTTTAAAACAATAATTTCATATAATTTCACGTATATTAATATTATACAAAATTCATTTTAGAATTAATATATCACCTCACCCTTATATAGACAATATTTGTAATGTCACACAAACATAAATACATCATATCACATTCATACAAACTCATTATCACATTATATAGATTTTATAGGACTTACCAAAAACTGAATATTGAACTAGACTTAAAGTTTTTGCACTTATCATATTTCTTAGCAAATATTGAGTCATGTATATATATGATACATAATTTAAATGTGTTAGGGTCATTATTTATTAAGCCAAATAATAAAGTGATATGACTAAATTAAAGTTTTGGCTAAAGACATATGTCATGAAAATAAAATTGTGTAGAGACCATAGAACAATTTTTAATTTGATGAGGGGCCAAATTAGAAATACTAAACATTAAGTAATTAACCTAATTCTGGTTATTTAAAGGGTCATGGTCCCCTTTTGAGAGCACTCACACACAGAACGTAAGTTTCAGTTCCGTTCCTTTCTTTCTATCCCCATCAAGAGAGAAAATCCAGAGGAAAATACAAGTGCTCTCCAGGTAGAAGACCATAAGATCAATAGTACTCTAAAAGGGACATCATCATTATGACTAATTCAGGTACGCTTTCACATTCAGTTTACAGTATGTTTATCAATATGAGATTACGTTTATGTTTGATTGTTAGAATGAAGATCATAATAAATTATTAGTTTTTCTAACAAGTGGTATCATAGTCACCCATACTTGATTCATATTTATGTTAGGAAAAATTTTAGAATTAAAATTAATTTACGGAACCCTTAATCCCTAATTTAAAACCCCAAATTTGAGAATCCTAGGGTTTCTTAAAACCCAATTCTCTGTTCCACGTGTGGCATTATCCACGAATTCCTGCTTCTGCATGACCTGGCTCTCCACCACGCTCTTGTCCGACCGAGGCGGAATGAAAAACTCGTGATACTATAACTCCAACGTGTCTTCTTCTGCAACCTCTCTCTCTCTCTCTCTCTCTCTCTGGCACCAATATTTCAGAATACAACCCCTTCTGCTACACAAAATACCGTTAATACGATTTAGGCAAGAACCGTGAAAGTGAAGCAACTTTCAGATCTACCTAGTGAGAGGGAGATTCATGAGTTCTTCTCCATTTTTGGAGAAATCGAGCACATTGAGATCCGAAGCAAATGTGACTA